TTGTTTGTTTGTTTGTTCTGTTTGTTTGTTCTGTTTGTTTGTTTGTTTGTTTGTTTGTTTGCTTCAATATCACCGTTTTTGGCCTGAAATCCTGTTATGCATGACATGCTGTGAAGTCATGTTTTGGATGTTCAGTCTTCGATTGTGTTTCTTTAAAGGAGAAGCTTTCTCAGTGTTTGTTTCATGGATTTGTTGGGGATGTTCTTGAGACTTGCAATGGGATATGTTGGGATCCTTGAGTCTTTGGGAGCTCGCCAGATCAGATCTGTGATCCGAATGTCTCCGTTTCCAAGTGAAGAACCAGGAAGTCGGATGAATCTCAGGCTGTCACGCGCTTGTCCCGTCCGCCTTGAGCCGAACCACCCCACGTCCGATGGAGCGACCGGGGTGTTCCGCGTCGAGACACGCGGTGTCCAGTCCCAGTCCCAGCCCAGTTTGAGTGAGACCATCGGAGATGGGCTGAGTTTCAGGAGTTTTCCCCCTGAACTCGGGTGGAAAACCGAAGTGCCAACGGTTTGGCCGCCGAAGGGTTTGGCCGCCGAAGGGTTTGACGGAAGAGACCGACATCCTGCCACCGAAGATTGGATCTGGCACGCGTGCACCCCGAACTGAACCCAGGCGCCCTCGGAATGCCTTCGTGAGGAGATTATCGAGTTTCCATTGGTCCTGGTGGACGCCAAAACCTTGACCCAGGCGCCTTGGTCCGACGTCTGGCGAAATCCCACCGTCTTTCTTGCACATTTCTCCAGCTTGCCGTGTGCAATTGGCACCAAAACTTCGTAAAGAATACACGTAGCAGCTGTTTCACATTCCAAGAATTCTAGAATAGCTCATACATGTCCGTTAATGAAGCGTAACGTCCCGCAACCCGGTGACCATACTGTTGCCCCTCAACCGTACAACCGTACTCCCCCACCCAATAAGACCGACCAACGGGCCGACGTTCGAGACCTTCGAGACCTTCGAGTTGGGTTGTTTTGGTTCGGTTGCAGACCGGGGGCATAGACTGGGACTGGGTGGGGCTGACGTGCCAGGGCTGAAGACACTGTTTTGAGCAGAAGAAGAATTTAATGTCAACCAGTCAACCATATAGTTTTCCGGTCACCGCGACCATTTGAGTGTAGCAGCGGCAATTAGAAATTATTCTATAGAGTCTTGAGCTCATGGAGATCGAAAAGAAGCATGGACAGCGCCTGACTCCTTACTTTCGTGAGCAGACAAAGCCCCGACGCTTCAAAAAAGAAACGGTCCATGCGCTGCGCTGCGACAGCAGCTCTTGCGCTGCGTGCTCAAAAGCGTCCGGCAAGGTGGATGAGTTCCGCACTTACGTGCGCCCGGAGCAGAACCCCACTCTGAGCCAGTTCTGTACCAAGCTCACTGGGATCACCCAAGAGCAGGTGCGGGCGCGAACGACCGTGGGGTGCTCGGGGACGGGGACCGCGCGGACCCTGTGAACCGGCAAGAAAGCTCCGACCAATGGAAGACCAGGTTGAATGGAAGTCTTCAGCACAAGAAGCCTGATTCAAAGCTGAGGTTTGGGGGATTTGGGGGGAACTCTCCTTCCTTCAAGTGAACTTAGATTAGATGTTCCTACTCAGCGCTCGTGACCATACCACGACCTCGTCACCTTCACCATCCGACCTTGACAAGGTGAGCTGGGACCCCAATGAATTTGTGTGCTCCAGACCTTTCACACAGAGTGACCCGCTGACTGCTGCACTTGATTCGGGGCAGAATCTGCGGTGGTTGTGTCAGGCGTGGGTTATATTTTGTGCTACAGGAAGCAGGCAGCTTTCAAGCTTGTCCCGCTTGGGTCCACTTTCGAAGGAAACCAACGGATATTCCAGTTCCACTGGCATCATCGCCACTACAGAAAAAGATTAGGAGCTGTGCAAGCAGCCCTTTCTGTGTTCTTTCCATGAAACATGAGGGCGAGTCATATTGGACATGTTTTTGCAGGTCATATTGCGGATGATTTGCGGGAACAAGCACGAGGGACTACTCCAAAGGCGTTTTGACGACCTGGAGCCGTGTCCTTTACTCTCTGGCGGTTCCAGAGAGTTCCAGAAACCGCTGGACTGGATCTCATTGGTCGGCGTTTGTCGAGTGTGTCGTTTGGAATTGTCAACTCTCTTCCAGAAGAAAGCGATTTGTCAAGGTCATTTGCTGCTTCGGTGTGTGTGTGTGGCTTTCATCACTTGGAGATTTCTGTTTTCACAGCACCTGATCCTCTTGGAGCCCTACCCATTGTGTGGATAACCTACTTGATCCAATCTCTACAAGTCCAAAGACACAGTAAAACGGTAAAACCTGGTCTTTTGCCTCCTTCAGTAATTAGTGTTCTTGGTATGACCAACTCCAGTAAACTGAGGCTTTGAATTCACAAGTTCGAATCTCACCTTTCCAAAACCGAGTTCCGCCTTTTGCTTTTTCGTTGCTCCACTCGTCTGGGAGAAAAGAACACAACCCCAAACTAAACACATGTAACACAGAACGGAAACACAAAGGATTATATCGGTTTTCCCACCATATTTTAGGGTTTTTCTGCACATATTGTAGGTGTTTATCCCATTCAAACCGTGTTTTTCACCTATGTTTCCCTTCCCCGTCTTCGAACACGTCTTCGAACACGGCGCACGTGCGAGACCGCGAGGTCTCGGAGGCGCCCACCTGGCCCACGGCCCGCGAAGTGGCCAAGGCCGGTGGCTCGGTGCACGTCGGAGCTCGCTGCACGTGGGGCACGTCTCGCTTCATGAGGCTTCGGAGGTGTTTTTGAGGCCACCCGTTGTTGGAACCATCCGTTTTGGCTTAGGGTTAAAAGCTGGCAAAACCTTAATAACAATTAGGCTTATAAGGCTATAAGGCAAAAAATTCTGCAAAGCCCCGTCATTCGTCCAGTCAAGGGCGAACGACGAGATGTGGCCAAAGGCTGACTAGCTCATCTATATTTTGCTATTGGGACTGTCCTATTGCCTGTACTGCAGAGCCGTTGGGTTTCACAAGAACATCACGATGTAAGATTCGGCCTGCAACTGAAGCATCATCATCCACTGGGCTCTGGTAATGAAATGGGATATAGTGATATACCCAGTTGATCTATGTTGCGTGGCAGCTGCATGGCACCACTTACCCTCCTCCCAAATCGCACCTGCCGCCTTTTGCACGTGCTCACGACTGGAAACTGAAGCTTTTTGCGCATGACTCCTGCGCGCAGGAGACACCTGCGCGCACACCTGACAGGTCATGGTCATATTAGCTTATATATATGGTCAGGTCATGGTCACCTGACAGGTCCTGACTGGACCAAGTTGTGACCATCTCACCAGAGACTTCGACTTGTCTCACCTGGAGCCAGGCCTGGCTCGATGATCGGCTCTCCGGCCACGGCTATCGCAGGCAGCTCTCGGTGGCTTGGGGGGACGACCTGGGCGGCTGGGAAGGCGAACCGAAGCACTGTGGTCGTTTTCTACTTGAGGAGCTCTGAGGAGGCCAATGCCTCCTCAACGTTCAAAGTGCCAAGGAGTTCAACTCCTCAATTTGAACGGTCCCTCAAGTGGTGGGTTTCTAGTTGAACCATTGCCCCGAAGAGCTGAATCCCTCCCAGAAACCTTAGAACCCAGATGATCTTTGTTTCGATTGGCGGCTAATAGCAAAAGGCCATGTTTTGCTGGCTTCTTTTGTTGGATCTTCCCTTTTCTACAGTTTGTGTTTATTTCTGTGTGTTTTCGCTCTCAACATCCAGTTTAACCCGAAGCAGTCGCGACAGTTTGAGCCTTTTATATCTGAACCAACCGCTCCCAGCTGAAAACTGTGAGCACCCCTCCCTCGGGCGCAGGTGGTTATTGGTGACCTGTGGAGATTGGGATTTAAAGACGATGTTGCCCATGCCACGGAGCTGAAGCGGATCGTGATGGGAGCTGATTCGCGCGACACCCGCTGGGAACCAGCCAATCTGGGGAACCCTGGAAGCCTTGGCATGGTGGGCGAGGTTCTTTTTGGTGGGATGTAACATGATGTAACATTCTTTTCTGGAGGGAGAAGAACCCCACGCATCATGCCGCGTCAGAGGCACCGAAGTGGTTGGAATATCTGAGGTCCGCTCAATGGTGCACACGGGCTGAGCCACGCGTGGCTGGTTTCTGGGGGTTCTGGGGTTTCACTTCAAAAATGGACAGATGTTTTGGCTTGGAACGGGTTGGAATGCACACCCCTGATTGAGTGATCACTTGAGTGATCACACCGTGTTCTGGAACTGAAACCAAGTTCGACCCGGAAGTTGGAGCCTCTCAAGATCCCTTCCGGATGGAATCGAGGCGATGTGTTCGTCCAGGTGGCTTCACCCTGTTGAGTCAGGGCTTTGCGTTCACCCTGTTGGTCTCAAGCTGAGGCAGTGCAAACTTGCTGGTGAGCCTGTGCCCGCTCCATTCCAGACCTGGCTGAACATCAAGTTGCTCGGCACAAACATGTGCACGTCTTGAAAGGCATTGTTGATGGCAAATTTGAGGCAATCGATTCCGAAGCCCCAGATTCCAGGAAGGCAGAAGTGACACCTAAAGCGGTAAAACCCTGTGAACAAACGCATAAGGAAATGCAATAATCTCCTGATTCTACAGGGGCCTCGGCAGGTGTTTTGAAGAATTAACCTGCTGTTGCACGCAAGCAGTTGAGGGAACATGCTGTATTGAGCAACCTACAATTCTACATCTCATTCCAAGTCAAAGACCAGCCAGACCTTGGTTATTGTGTTGCACAGCCTCAAGCACACTTCCCATTCGAGTACCTTCCAGAACCATGAAGTGCAGGTTGAAGGAGGCCACAGGTGATTCACCTGAATCATATGCCCACCCACAATTCCCTGATTCCCTGCTAGTGTTCTTGGTGAAACATGATGAAACATGTTCTGGTGTAAAGTTCTCCATGACTATAGCTTAGTGGTCAAAACCCTGGAGACAGAGTCTAGTCTGACGGGAAGTCTCCCTACAGCAGCCCCAAAAGCACAACATAAAGCACCTTTTTGAACTACAGACCTAGTAAAAAATGTGTGTGTGTGTGTCCATATCCTTGTGCCCAGTCAATGAAAGAGAATGGACTCCTATGTGTGAGAATGGTCTCTTCAAGCAAATCATCATTCCGGTCTCAAAAAAAAGGAGAAGGTTAAGCCTTAACCTATATGACTCATGAACCTACATCATCACTCCCATGTGGTTTTCACCGAGGAGTCCAACCGGCTTCTTCGCTTCACCGGTGCTAAGTCGCCTTCGGCCGAAGTCACAGGCGACTCTTCAGCGAAGTCACCGGAGAGAAAGCCACGGGCATGGAAGGCGTGCCTCGCAGGGCGAACGGTCCGTGAACCGGTGGATGCGCTGCGCTGCATGGGCGGTTTCCGCCTGAAGAGGGGCAACGTGTTGGATCCATGTGATCGTTTTTCTGGGGGCAAGCTGCTGGATCTGTTGATCTGACTTCTTTTGAGATCGAACCCTTTTTGACGCGCGGGCTTTCTTCGCGCAATCGCGAGGCATGCTGGAGGTGTTACATTTGGAGCTGGAGGGCCGGCACCATTGTGGTTTGGACGACTGCAAAAACATTGCCAGGACCGGGGTAGTGGTAGTGGTAGTGGTAGTGTTAGTGGTCGTCGTCGTCCTGGCAGGATTCTGGAGGAGCTGCTGAAGAGAGGTGGAACCATCAAGGAGTCCGGAGCGGAGCTTGTTCAATTATTGAGCTTGTTGCAAGACGGGGTGACTGTAGAATTTGTGGTTTATACTTTTGGAAGAAGCTGTGGGGCACGGGTTCTTCAAAGTGACCTTTTTATATGTTGGTTTGAGGTTTGAGCTTCAGTTAGAGAATGGCAAAGGGTCACTTTGAAGAACCTGGACAAGAGATGGTGAACTGGGATTAAGCTTCGGTTGGTGCATCAACTGGAGTACGACACCAAACACCATCCTTAGACGGGTCGCTTTTCAGCGGCCAGTTCGGGATGACTGGGGATGCAGGGCACCACCTTGTTTCAAGTGTTTCGAATTGTGTGGGTGTTCTCCACGCTTGCCAAGCGTTTTGGACGGGGGGACCACATTGCATCAGCATATTGAGCGTTGTTGAGCCTCGGTGCTCTTGATACATCTTGATACCCTGAACCAAACTCCAAAATTGGAACTCAAGACTTGATTCTTGCCATTCAATCCACTTAAACGTTTGATGCCACCTTGGATGAGTAGGAGTTCGGATTGGGCCCGTCCTGATATAGAATGGTCAATGGTTTCCCTCTTCGTTACTCAGACCTGCCAATGCCTGCAAGTCCAATGCCAGCCTGTGATCAGCAAGGTATAAAACCTACCCAATACATGCCTCCGTGTGATGGTGGATACCAACAGCGTAATCGGCATTTAGAGATGATCTGAAGAAAACACATCTGTCCGAACGCGTCCTCGTCCTCCTTCGCACGCCGAATTCTTCTGGGCCGGGACGATCAAATCCGCTGGCCGAGGAGGAGCTGCTTTGGCCGAGGACGGGTGGCTACAAAGGCTCGGGCAGGCCGGGACGGGCCGGTCCAAGGTCGCCTCGTGAGCCGGTAAAGGGCACGCTGACACTGGGAAGTTACGGATCAGAAAGATGGGATATGTGACAGACACTGGGAGAAGGAAAAATCATAAAAGATCCGTGCCACGTTTTTCTTGCTTTTTCCTGAAAGAGTTGTACCGTGTGATTATCCAGTCTATGCCTGTCGGTCAGGCTGTAATTTTGTGTGTTCCCACAGATTGAATTTGCCTGCCAATGATTCAGATCCATTGAAGTGAAAGTTTGATAGCTCGACGCAATGTCCATAAATCCTTCACACTGCTTGGTTGTCACCTTCAACATCCTGAAAGCTGAGCATCCACTGATATCAGTGGTTTTCCTAAGGGTCGAACTGTTCCACTTATCCCAGACCATCCATGTACATATTGACCTACCCCAAGGGGTGGTTTGGGGGGGTTAGGTCACCCGATGCATTTACTGTATTCATAGCATTTTATATATGTTCATATACATATTCCATACATGGATGGTCTGGGCCTTTGTCGTGTGAAACTTTCTTGGACGGTAGACCGCAGCCGCACCAGCAGTCTTGCCTCCGAGTGGCGCCAGGTGAAAGAGTGCAACGACGATGAGAGCGACTTCAGGAGATTAGTTTGGTTTTTGTGTGTTGTGAAAAACAAGATGGAACCCGCCAACCCGAATGCACACACACGCTCGAAAGCAAACTGCCGAATAGGAGACATTGTTTGACCGGTGGGGTTTCTGAGATGCAGGAGGTTTCTTATCAAGGGTCGTACGGCAGGTATCTTTTCGTGTAGCTGGACTTCGATTAATAACTATAAATCAAATCCGAATCCCACCTTTAAAAATATAAGGGTTTCAAGTTTGAGTCAACGCAGGAAAAAGTAAAAACAAGGAAGAACAGGATTCCATAAAAATAAAAACTCAATCCACAGGAATTTCTTTATAGGGCTACAGTTTAAGGATTTGGTAGGGAACCTCTAATTTGCCGAACAATGTAGGCCGGAGTGGACCCTAGAAAAAAATATCACGGCAAGAGACCCCCAACAGTGTGTGTGTGTGTGAGGTGTGTGAGGTCTAGAGGTGTAGCAGCAGGAGGTCTAGAGATCTAGACGCATTGGCGTGAGTGAGAGTGAAAGTGAGAGTGAGAGTGAGAGTGAGTGAAAGTGAGAGTGAAAGTGAGAGTGAGCATGAGAGTGAGAGTGAGTGAGAGTGAAAGTGAGAGTGAGTGAGAGTGAAAGT